ACATGACTTCAGTACTTTTGTAGAGTTGGGAGAGAACTAGACAGATAGTGAAGCCAGGATTCCTAGCTCCTAGCTTCATCTTGGCCAAGTACAGTTAAGCTGTTGTCCTCTAGGTTGATACAGGGTTAGGACTTACGGCTTTCTGGTTTTGTGCATGTACTTTTTGGCTTTTATCATTTAAAAGGCACTTTAACTACGAGTGTTGCAGAAACCTGCCCACATTTCTCACTTATAAGAGAAATACACCATTTTGCTGGAGGGGCTTTAGGAGCTGGAACTCCTGGGCTCTATTTGGAGGCCATGGTATGGCTGGTGTCCAAGCCTTGAGTTTCTCAGCAGATGCGAGGAGGGAGTTTGGAACAGGGAGAGGAGGACAGGAGGACATGCCCTGTTGTTACTGTTGCTAGGGACCACAAGATCGCTGGAGCTTGTGGGGTATTTCCTCTTCCCTTTGCAGAAACATCGCTCATGTTCCCTTTCTCTCTTTCCAGGTCTTGAATTGCTCTTGAGCTCTGATGCCAAAGCCTGGCATTGGGAGGTGCTGTTCCCCAGCAGACCTACTTCCTTGGTGGAGGAAGGGGACGCACGGATGCACAGCTCAAGATTTTTCCCCACAGACTGTCCTATGGAGGGGTCTGCTGCCTCGTTACAGTTACTGTAATCCGTTCCGTCAATAAAACCCTTTATAATACTGCAGTCTTTTCCCTATTGGTGACAAATACAGAGGTTCTTCTGACACCCAAGTTCCCTCTCAGGCACAACTCCCTGTTTTTACCCCCCTCCCTCCCTCCCTTTCTACCCAGCAGACTTTTTTCTGTGCCCCAGTTTCGGAGGGAAGCAGGAAACAAGTCGTCATGGAAACTCAATTGTCATCCACCCTTTTCATCTCCCTGTTTCCTGCCCCTTTATACTTTGCCCCTGGAAAGTATATTGCCAGCGTGCCCCCAGGCTTCAAAGCTGTGGAAAATTTGGGTTAGGCTGTGGTTAGCAGTCATGAACAGAAGGAAGCAGAGGGTGTCCTCCAGCACATCCCCAGGTGTACCCATCTTCCCACAGGCCCTCCCGTATCTCTCAAAGGCATAAGGGGCAGAGCTGGACGTCCCAGCTGGACTTACAGCCTCACTAAGGCCTGGTAATGACACAGCCACCCTGCCACCATGTTATCTTTTCTTCAGTCTGGTGTGCTGATCAACCCGAGGATGTTGGAAGGGGCTGCCAAGCTGTGTCAGTGCCTCAGACAGAGCTGCACTTGAGCTGTCCTGGGTCCATGGAGAAGCTCACCCCTCAGACTTAACCTCATTGAAAATCCTTCCCCCTCCAAAGCACTGTGAAATGCTTAAACTCAATGGCTTTGGCCCTTGGCTGTAGCCCAAGCTAGCTCCTGCATTGAGGTCAAATGCTTCTTTGTCCTGATGGAAAATTAGAGCCCTGTGGTGACCAGATTATGGGCACAGCACAAGATACTAACCCCAGCTAGCCCCTCCGCACCCTTGGCTGCAGGATTTACCTGAGTTACCTTCATGCATGAGGCTTCATCCTTGTACTGATCCTGCTTCACACTTGTCTGGTTTGCTCTGCAGCTGAAACACTGGATAGGTAAAATGTGCGTTGAGGCTATGTGACAAAAAAATGCTTGTCTGCTGGCACTCAGGAGATAAAACATGGGGTCTGATAGCTTCAACCTCTCAGCATTGGATTATGGCTCCTGTTTACCACCTTTTCCCTTTTAGCATTTCCAGCTGTGCTGCAGCCATTAAACCCATAAAAGCGTGAAACCTGGGGCTTCTAAGTCTCTTGCCTAACATAGGGTCTGAAGAGTGAGGTATGAGGGAGCAGGGTCGGTACTGTCTCAAAGGATGCTGTCTGGGTCTGTGGTAGGAACACAGAATTCACGCCAGCTCTGACACCACCGCCTCCCTCCAGCCCCAGACATTAAGCTGCATTTGTTTACAATGGTACCAGCTTTGTACTGCTGGGGAGCAGGCAGGGGACTCGACAGCACGTAGGGATTGTAAATGAGCCACCGAGCTCTTCTTTCCTATAAGAAGGGCCCTCTGTGAGCCAGGCCCGTGGCAGACGGAGCCGGCACGTTGACAGGAGGAACAGCTCAGGGTCTCCCTTTGCCACTGCCGCTGCTGCTGTTTGCGAGCTGCGAGTGCCTCCCTGTGGCCCTGTGGGACTCGGTCTCCCCACGGTGTGGCTTTAGAGAGAGCTTTAGGCTGGGACCCTCCTGTGGCCACTTCTAAGAACTGCACAGGAGCCTCTGGAAAAGGAAAAACCGTGGGTTTTCTGTGGGGTTTCTTTTTTTTCCTGATTTTTACCAGCTTGCAATGCCTCTAGTTGCCAAAAACTCAGCACTAGAATTCAGGTCCTATTAGAGCTACTCCCACGTCTGATTATTCAACAAGTCTGTAGATGTCTTCAAACTCTGCTCTTTATAAAGGTCATGCTCGGGTCCCTGTTCATACTGTAGAAGAGGGCAAGAAGAGAGGCTGTTTCATGTACAGGGCCATGTTTAATGAGAGGTGACAAATGTCTGGCAGGATGTTTTCTCCAACAAAACCCCTAGAAAAGATGCAAATTCATCTCCTACCCATAGCTAGGTATTAGGGGGCAGGAGCTGGCATAGGGGAGAGGGTGCTAGAGATGGACCCTCTCTAGGGGCCCTGGCAACATCTCCTTCCCAATGTGAGAGGACTCTCTGGCCTGCCCCATCTTCCTCCCTTCTCTTTTGGGTCAGGAGAAGTGAAAGGACTTTTCTGCATGGATTCACTGCCTGTATAACAGGGTGCAGAGGCCTACCAGCAAATTCAGAAATCTTACACACTTCTAAGATCTTTCCCTGCCACCCACTGCACTTTATAATGTATTTTCTCCCCTCCTTTCCCCTGCCTATGCTATACATAGCTCAATCTTTCCCGCTGTACCCAAAACAACTCCCCCCAGACCGAAGAGCAGGGTGTGGTGAGGTGGCAGGAAGGGAGGGTGCCTCAACCTTATTCAGCTTTGGCTTGTGGTCTAACGTCTGCTGTGCTTTTCCACACGCTTCTCCCCCTCCCTGCCACGTGCCACACCAGCCCTGCTCCCCCCACCCCCTGTTTTGTGCTCCACTTTCCAGAGGAAGCGGTTTCTGCGGTAGGGTGTAGAGGAGCATCAAAAGATGACCCAGATCTCGATTGTGGCGTCATGGAACTGGTGGTGCGTCCCCTTCCTGCCCCACCTGGGCCATGAGACCCCTTCCACATCCTGTCCTACTGTGTTATTTCCTGCCTTTGCTTTGCACTGTGGTTTTTCTTTCTCGAAATAAACAAGAAAGCCCAAAGTGGTGAGGGGGAGGGCACATTGTGATGGTGGGAGATTGAAAGCCTAATATCTGAAAGTATCTTTGAACTAGACCTACAAATTCAGTGTTTTGCATATCACAAGCTAAGAGTCACTTTAGTCAAAACATTTAACTTTATCTGTACACTCATCCCCTCACTCGGCAAATCTTATCACTGGGGTCGTTTAACCTGGAAGAGAAAATGTGGAAACAGAGGCAGCACACTGTCGTCCCTCCTTGACCATGCAGCTAGGAGTGGGTCTGACATGCAACACACAAAATTTAAGATGGATATTAATTTTAAAATGTGATGCTAAAGGTAAATGAGCGTGGAAACTTTTCTTCCACGTCTCTGAAGGTTTCTGGAATGAGGTTAATGAGTTCGAAATTGTGAAATGCAATGACTTGCTTTGTAATTCAAATATGATTTTGGCAACTTTATCAAGCTGTATCCCTGTGACGAGGCAGACCTCATCATTAGCAAAATGTAAGCTTCAGGAGCTGCCTGGAATCTAGCATTTAAAGAGCCATGGACTTTCTAGAGCTGGAAATAAATGAGAGTGACTATTGTGTCAAGGGAGAGACAAGAGAATGAGTCCCTGAACACCTGTACTATAAAATAATCAGGGCAATAGACCCAGAAAGTTTGAAGTTGTCCCTTGGCAGGAGGGCTCAGTAACGCTCTGTCACCTTGTAACAGGCCACCTGCTCAGTGGTCAGGTGGCAGCACCATGGCAGGAGACCAGGGAGACTTTGTTGTGTTGCTGCTCAGCACTGTGGAGTCACATCCTGTGGCAGGGATGCTGGCATGGTCTTCACATGGGGACCCTCTCCCACATGAAGGACCAGGGCTTTTAGCTAAAAGCATTTGAAGCATGAGCCTTTCCAAAATCAGAGTTCCTTGCAATGGTGTGAATCCAGCAGGGTGAGAAACATCCTGTGAGGGGGGGATCACTCCCACCAGTCTGGTGAGGCTTTCCCTGCCACTCAGTTTGGGCACTGGTGTGAGGTACAAGCAAGGTTCAAGCTTTGCAGGGAGGGTGTGTTGCTTTCAGAGCACCCTTCTCATTTCTCCCTCCAGAGGAACCTCTGGTGCTTCAGAAGAAGATGGAGAGATCGATGTCACAAAAGGAGAAAATTTCCTTTCCAGTCTTGCCAGTGACAGACAACCTGGAGACTCAGGCCGGTCGGTTGGTGTCATTAATGCAAAGCAGGTACCCTGTTCTCCAGTGATGCTTGGGAGTGGGGGACATTTAAAGGCAGGGCACTTCAGGCTCCTGTGTTTGCCATAGCAGTAGACAGCTGCCTTCAAGAACCTGGACCACTTACTGGTCCTCTCACTGTGGGCAAGCCATATTTTACCATTGCCTTCACATAGCAGAGAGTCTACTCTTGGAGGAGAGGCACTCTCCTCCATTCCCCTCCCTCTGAGCCAACCAGACACAGCAAGGATGTCCTGGAAAGGGACTTTGGAGCTATTCCCCGCCCCGCGGTGGATCCAGCCAGTTACTGCAAACAGCGCCTGGTGGCCAAGTCAGACTGAAGAGGAGTGTCCGAACGCTCCTTCCCTCCTTCACCCCAAAGGCCAGGCTCATTCCTAAAGCCCATCTGAAGAGTGAAACAAGTTCTTCAAACTACAGATACAAAAGACAAACAAGTTTCTTATTTTTGATAAGAATTGTTTAATAGCAGCCAAAGGCCTAAAGAAATGCCAAGACATCAGTGTGGTTGCCAGTACCATTCAAGAATTAGCAGCGTGCGAATTTCACATGCATGCACTGTTTCCAAGGAGTGCACATATGGACAGGTAAATATTTCAGTATAGCTTTATGCAATGATTATTAAAAAAAAAAATTGGGAAATCTAAGTTTGTTAGAATGAAACAAAAAGAACAAAAGTAGTTTGTATTTTTACTAAACACAAAGCCAAATCTTAAGCTGGTTTAAATTCAGAAAATGTTAAGGCCAGATAGACTTTAAACAATACTAAAAAACATTATTTTGTTCTGTGATAATGAAGTGAGAATTTCACTGAATTCAGGACTTCTGGGAGACCTAGCAGCATATCTTTTAAGGGAATAAAAAAGATACCTTGCTCTGATCTAGCAAAAGATAGCAGGACATGGTGCATAGCACCCTGAATAACTCTCCGTTTATTTTTCAGTGTTTCATTTGCAACTGAAATGGTGTCTGTGGGGGTGCACTCTAAGACGTGCATACCTGAAAGCCACCAAAATATGAAAAATTCACATTCAAGTGATATTTAGCTTGCAGTTTTCAACAAACAACACTGCCCCAAGCAGAAATTGTGTGTCATTTTAACACAAGTAATAGTGATGTTTGGCAATTTATAGTTATAGTAAACTATGTTTCATGCAAAAAGAGGCATTGTCATGCTAAATGAATCAGGCATCTGGGGGAGCAGAGTGCTGAAAATTTTAAGCTTATTTTTGAGTACCTTTATAACAATGCAAATAAAGCAATTTAGACTATAATGGCTGGCGTGATATACAGAAACAGCAAGTGATATCCCATGCAACAGAAATGCCTGTGTTCCCTATTGCACACGATACTCTGGTAGATTCCTCAGAAGATTTTTTTGTTACTTCAGGACTGCACCATCTGGTTACTTTCACTCCTGTAAAAAAAGTAAACGTATGTTAAATCATTATTTGAGATACAGTCGCAGCTACACAACTGTAGACCTGAAGTGTCTAGGCAATAGAAAGAGGAGAAGGAGGCACTGGGCCAAAACTAATATATAGGTCTGAGGTCTTAAAGTCAATAAGCATCAAACTTTCCCAGCTGGAGACTGGTCGAGGGATGAATCTGATGGATGAATGCAGACAAGGGAAGGGATGGATGTAGAAATAGAAGGGAGAGATGTCTAGAAAGAAGAAAAAAGTTAAATTTGTATGTGGATAAGGAAAAGTAAATAGATTTGAGGGGTGGGCAAAAACAATGATATGGCCAAAAGAGTGGAAGGATTTTTACCATTGGTAGACAAAAGGTGTATGGATATACTGCATAAACAGTTATTACAGAGAGAAGGAACATTCATAGCTAATGAACTGATCCAGGTGTTTTCTGTCAGAGGCCTTACCACCCCCCATGCATACTCACTTTTTTTTCCACATAAGCATCGTCATCAGCACATTAAAAATTATTCCTTTCATTAAAATTATTTTCAGGCCCAGCTGTGATAAAGACAGCATGTTCAGGTTTTCATCTGTAAAAGTAACAGAGAATGAAAGTCACAAGAGCACTGAGACATCCTTGCTTCCAGACAGACTTAAAAGCACTTCTTAATGAAGCTGTTCCACTTTGTGTGATGAGTCAGCTAGTAGGATAGCTAATGAGATAGTGAGCAGGACTGTCTCACTGAGAGACTTTCATTTCTTCCAGTTGGTGTTTCAAGGGCCAGGTTTTCATTCAATAACCACTTAATTATCCAATATGCAAGTCTGCCAACCATCTAGCTGTTTTTAAATACAGTGTATTATGAACCCAGGATGCTGGAGGTGTCCCTCCTTCCTCTCCCTAAAATTTTTTAAGATGGGCAGGGGGAAAAACAAGTTAAATTTTAGTCAAAGAAGACAAAGTCTATTTGGATTTTCTATTAATCTTAAGTTACAAAGCCATTTTCATTTGAAAATACTGATCTATATTGGGGAAGAAGGGAGCTGTCATCAGAAAGTCATTTTATGTTTATCTTTGAAAACCCCTCTCTGAAATGACTGATCAAATCAGCCAAGTTTACTGATGAGTATTTTTCTGAAGTGGTGTTTTGGAAACATCTGGCTAACTGGTTTCTTTTCAGCAAGGCTGCACATTTGCAAAAGTACAGCTATTCTGCAAACAGGGCAAGTGCAGAGGCAGGCTCAGCTCCTTTGAACTAGCAGGAACAGCAGTTGTTTGGGCTCCAGCACTGGCTAGTATACTCCCACAGCCATGAGCTGAAGCAAAGCTTGCTCAGATGCACCGTATCTTTAGTGCAACCCTGCTTCTGAGCACACACTGCAGAAACTACCTGCTTATCTTTTGAGACATTAGGTGTTTGTGTACCCAAAATTAAAAACAACTCTTTTGAAGTCTGAAATGCAGACAGACATCCAGTAAGGCTGACTCATATCAGTACCTTAAATCATTATGTGATGGGGAGTAGTTGTTTGGTTAGTCCTAGCAATAGCATGTAGGCATTGGCTACACTGGTCACATAAAATTACCAGCTCAGATCTGGAAGACTACATTAACCCAATGACTTCCAGCCTTGATATTTAAAGCTTGTGGGGCCCTTTTGGAAATTTCCAGTCTGAGCTTTTTGCTCCAACAGGAATTCTGCAAAGAGGGAACATTAGCAAAAGCTTGGGAAGGCATTTCGTTTAATCAGGCCAAGCTTTACTCCTAACATGCTGTGTACATACCTGTCCTGAAGTGTAGAGACAACCCTGTAACACAGACAGTGCTGGCACCTGCAGATAGTAACAATAAATTTAATTAGTAACAGAAATGTACTTCTTCAGAAGTTCTTAAAGATACCTCTACTTAGAAGGGCTGGATTAGAGTTTCTGGCCAGTAAACCCTCCCATAAATACTCATTTCTGCTATTTTCAGGGCAAGCATAAAATATAATCTAATTAAACTTTAGTGTCCCATCGGACAAAGGAATTTTAAGCTTTATATCCCCCATAGTGTAATTTTAAGATCTCTCTGCTGTGACTGTACCAGTCTACTGACCCTTAATCTTGGTTCCACCAAGGAGGAAGGCAAAAGAAAACAGAGGCAGCAAGGCAACAGTCCTCTGGAGTATGGGAGCATAATTCAGCATTGCTTGCAGGGTTGGGAGATGTGAACAAGTTGCTTATACTAATAGCACAGAGTCCAGAGTACCTCTAGCCCTGTACACACATCCAACAGTGCTATTACCACTTTCCGGATCCTCGCCCTCCAGTTCTCCAAAGCCCTCGTGTATTGCACCACACTTCATTTCATCCTTCTTGGCCCAGTAGGTTGACAGGTAGCTCACTTCCTGTTTGTTCTCGGATGTTGCCACCTCCACAACAGCATTTGTGTGCTCAGCTGAGTTAAGAGTAAGGTTTTCAGGGGAGTAATCTGTGATAAGGCATATTTCCAAATCCTCATCATCCTTAGAGATCAGCCTGTAAACTGAAGGAGATGGAGTAACATCTGAAAATGGAGAAGAGAAGAGACATTAGATGAGAGTACACAGTCATAGTTCCTTCAATCTTAACATACAGGCACTTAGGAATAGCGGTTTTTCCATTATTCCAGTGGGAAGTTGCCTGATCATAGGGATCTTGTGCTAGGACACCTTTAGAGAACCAAGGCATCCACAGCAGATGATGCAGGAGCTACATGAGACTTATGTTAACTTATATTGACTTACGTTGCATGGGAGACACAGAGGCAGGATCCCTAGAGCATCTCAAATGATATTCATGTGGGCATCCACACCCTAGATGTCCATATCTAACCTAGTCATTCCTCTCTGTAACAACTCATGCAACTCTACTCTGCAGCCTGGGCTTCCTTTTGGATCTTGGCCTGGATGCATTCAGGAATGTGTGTAACAGGCGGAGAGGGCACTCTCTTCTTGCTTCACTGCTACGAGATGTAATGTGTCTGGAGAGAACTGAGCAGCTCAGGGGCATTCTGCCTTTTCTGCAAATGTGTGGTCAAATCCACCACTGACATTCAGAATCCCACTTCCTCCACCTGTCCTGAGGGACAGTGGATAAACTACCAAGTCTTAAGGGTGTCCACATTTACCGCCAGTTTAGCTAATTGTGTTCCTACAAAAAGAAAGCTAGGAAAGCCACTGCAAAGTAGGAACACATGGTTGCATTTAGGGAAAAAAAGATGAAACAAACGTTTCATTATGTTCCACCACCTGACAGTGCAATGCAAGATTTTTTTACTAAATTTTACCCTGCAGAAGAGGGGTTTGGGGAACTAAAGGCTGCAGATATGACACCTGGGGTTTATTTCTGTTTTCTTGCTTCAAATCCTGCTAGCAAGTCAGTTAGACTAGGATTTTCCACACATATCAAAACACTACCTGTGGTTAAACTCTTTTTTACACATTTAGCTTTGTAAACTTGTACTCTAAGCATACATTTCATCTTGTCCAGCTCTTGAAGTCTGATTCTTTGAGAAGGTGCTTTCCTAAATCTTTGTTCATGCGTAACAGTAAAATGTTATGGGCATTGCAGTACTCTAACGATGAACAGATGAAATATCATTAAAGACATACTGTAGCCAAGATGCAGCTTTGGGGCTCTCAGCAACCCTCTGGCTGCATTTTCCATTGGACTTCACAATCACAGGTTTGAAACAGAGCTTCAGTTCACATTTCTAAACTGACAAAGTGTTATCGTGTAGGGTTGAGAGTTTAGATTAATATTTGCTTCATCCCTGTTCACACACCACACTGATAAATATTGTAGAAATACTAAAGACAGCTTAGCTCCTAGATGAAGAAGTTTTAATTTCTTCCCATGGGGGAAGTTTGGACTAAAACTTGGCTTTTAGAAACTGTCTCAAAATCTTATGCAAGTGCAGACCCTAGTTCTATCACTGGGATAAATGCTTTTCATCTGTTCAATTGCCAGTTGTCAGCACCTTAGAGAAATAGCCATACTTCTTTATTAGTATGATCTCAGAAAAAAACTAATCCACAAAGCCTAATGATTCATTCTCTGGCCCTTCTCCTGAATTGCAGTTCATCTATCCCAGCTTTTCCCTGAGAATTAGCTACTTCTTTATTAGTATGATCTCAGAAAAAAACTAATCCACAAAGCCTAATGATTCATTCTCTGGCCCTTCTCCTGAATTGCAGTTCATCTATCCCAGCTTTTCCCTGGCTTTGAAAAACCTGATGAGACTGTCTCTTTCCCAACTACACAGAACACGGTCTAATGTATGTTCTGACTTGCTCAACCCCACTCCCTACCTCCCATATTCCCGTTATTGTTTTGGAAATAGATTTCAGTGACCGTTTGTTAGGGAGAGGAAGACAGGAGGAGATAAAAAGCTTGATGGTAGATTCCTGTATAAAATACAGATGAACCAGAGTACATCATTGTCATGGAGTACATGGATACGAAAGAGAAGAGGAGGAATTGATCAAGCTGTTCTGCTTCTCTCTCATAATGAGTACTATGCTTTCTGAAGAGCTACATAGCCACCTCTCTCCAAATTAGGGTGTTTTTCTCCCTTTCAATCTGTGCAATGCTTTTATCTTGAGCAGATAAAAAAATAAAGTCTGTTTTTTGCAGGCAGCTTCAGCAGCACCTGTTTTGCAAAATACTCATTTCTCATTCTTGCTCAGAGTGGCTGCTGGCTTTTTCTGATAAGTTCCTTTGCATATTTGCACACTGTTATGAAAGTTTGCAGATAGCAGTCTTGGTAAATATCAGCTATTATAACCACAGCACTGTGACCTGTTTCCTGTTATTCTGTCTTAATGAGTTGGTGGATGTGTTGGAGATGCTGTATTGATATTTATGACCTGTATTTGCAGGAAAGACTGAGAAGTAAATCATGATACTCTGAGCTGTCCACGCTGCCTAATTTCATCTTTACTGAAGGATATCTTCCAAGTGGAAGAACAGGAGCTGTTGGAATGCTATTCCTGACCCGTCTTCAGAGAAAACCAACTCCAGAGGCTGATTTCAGGGAGAGAGCAGCAGAAGCCTGTTCCAACATCAGACTGAGACCCATGCCTTTTTTTCCAAACAAGCTACAATAGAAATCCTGAACTGGTTTAACACACAGATTGTATTATACAGATTTATCTCATTCTCCATTCCCTCCAAAGCAAACTCTGAATCTCTGATCAGGTTGGAATTGGTGTGATAGAGGTCTTTGATCCTCTTACCATTCCTCAACCTGGAGCTCTTGTCCAACTCAGAGGAAATATATACCCCCTCACAAACTCATACAGGCTAATCGTGACCCCAGAGGAGCAACTCCAGTGACTTAACAAGCACTTTAGTGATGTTTTCTGGCTGTCCTCCAATGAAGGTTCCAAAAGGTCTACCAGAGGTCCTTTGTGAAATCTGCCAGCCCTGCATAGATGCTAGGATGTCTACAGCAAGACTAGATGTCCACATTTAGCACCTGAACTCTTCTCTAGACTTCCAGTGCTCGTGTCTGGAGTCATTCAGATAAAAGAAGCCAGGTCCTAGTCTGGCATCAGCCAAGTCATCCAAAGTACAAAGACTGTACACAGATTCAGTATTTGCAAATGTGAATATACTGCTTCACTTACAGGGTTCAGCCATAATTCTGGTCTCCATCCCAAAAATATGTTTGTCATTGCCTCTGTAATTACAATTGGGGAAGTCAAACTACCAAAACCATCCAGGATCTTTCTCGCAAACCTTTAAAGGGAAAGATTTCTATCTGAACCAAAACTGAAGCTGAATTAATAGAGTAAGATACCCAGTATGTGAGGAGAAATCAAGTGTTCAGTGGACTAAATAGTTCTCTAGTACCAAAACAGGATAAATCCTGGGCTTACAGCATGTGTTCACATTAAGGAAAAGTTGAGATGAAGTTTTCTTAAATTTCATATTGGGAAGCAATACCCTATTTGTGTTCATGTATAGATTTATTCATGCATCACCTAAACTGCGGGAGAGATGTACTATGATCTCCTCTGCTGCTCCTTTCAACAATGTTAAGGAAAGATTTTTGGGGGTCAGAAGGAGCAATTCTGCTTATCTAATTCACTCTTTAAAGCTCACAGGTGAATGAGATGGCTTAACGCATCTGTGTAACAATTGTCTGGAAACAGAAAGACTTGAAGTGGCTGCTCATGAACCTCCTGAGAACATCTGTCATTTTCACAAAATACATTTGCATGCTTTTTCTTCCAAAATCAGAGTGGGTTTTAATTGCCAGAACAAGTTTTCAATTTTATGTGCTAGAGATTTAGTTTCTAGAAAAAAATTCATAGAATCATAGAATGGTTTGGGTTTGAAGGGACCTTTAAGGTCATCTAATCCAACCCTCAATTCACATCATTTCAACTCAAAAAAGGAAACTTTCTGAATTAGAGATTAACTATTTATGTAGCGCCAGCCAAAAAAATCGCATTTGTTTAATGAGTAAGAAAAAAAAAAACATTCAAAAGAATCAACCTAAAACCCCTTTCTAAAAACAGGTGGAAGATCATTTTTACATTGATATCAAAAAGTCAGAAGAACTTTTGTTCTTACACTTGTGGAATTGCCTCAGATGTAGATGTCTATTTCACACCAAAATGATATCCTTTCCTGATCAGTCTATTTAATGGGTACATTTAATTAGATAACTTATTTGGGATCATAGCCTTGTGCCATTTCCAAAAATTACTCTCCTAGCTCCAGTATCCCACGCACCCCAGTCTGAATAATTGCCAATACTGTAGCCTAAGTCACCTGGGAAATTTCTTCACAATGCAGTGTGAAACGAAGACTTAAACATGAACCCAGAGGTATCTCTGAACTTTTTTTCCCTCAATCTAAGGCAAAACACTATTACTGTTTGACAGGACTCAGAAGTTAATGTTAATGATATGCCAATATCATTAACCTAAGACATTGATGATGCTGCCTCATTTCCCACTACTCCCAGTCTCCCTGCTCCATCTTCACAAGCACCCTGTTGAGAAATAATCCTGGGTTCATTTTCTTTCAGCCTTCACTCCTCCCTCCACTCTCCATCTAGAGTTTATCTTCATTCTCCATAAAGGTAGACCTACTCAGAAACACTAACCAGTGGACACTGCTCCCGCCTTCATACCTTCATAGCCTGTCCTTCTCCAAATCTTGCTCACCTGGGTTGACTTTAAATCTAGTCCCTCTTCCAAACACAACTTTACTGTATCTTTCAGTTTCCCACTCAAAGAGAAGCCTTTGCAATAAATTCCTGCCTACCAGCTGCATATTCCAATGGCTCCTCATCCAAAATATGTGGGAAAGCTGTCTATCAGAGGATGACACACAAAGATATTTGAAATTTCATTCCATCTTTTCAGGTTTCTAAAGCATTTTAAAATATAACTGAGGAAAGGAAAGAGAGTTACCATGCATCACAAGAAGTTTGGTACCCCTTCCAAATAGTTTTTCTAGTTCCTGACTGCTCACACTGTAACATCAGTTTTTACAAATATGGAAGGG